AAGAAGTCTCTTCTGTTCACCAAGCTTGCATTTATTTGATCCAAAGTACAGCAAAACAGTAAAATTTTGAAATATTTTTACTAGGCTATTTCAAATAACTGTTTTCTATTTGAATATATTTAAAAATGTAATTTATAGTGATTTCAAAGCTACATTTTTTGCATCATTACTCCAGTCACACTATCCTTCAGAAATCATTCTGATATTCTGATTTGCTGCTCAAAAAACATTAATAATAATAATAATAATAATTAAAAAAGGTTTCTTGAGCAGCGATCAGCATATTATAATTATTTCTGAAGGATGTGAGACTGAAGACTGCAGTAATGATGCTGAAAATACAGTTTTGATCACAGCAATCATTTTAAAATATATTCAAATAGAAAGCAGTTATTATAAATAGTAAACATTACTGCTTTTGCTGTACTTTGGATCAAATAAATGCAGGCTTGGTGAGCAGAAGAGACTTCTTTATAAAACATAAAAAATCTTACTGTTCAAAAACTGGTGACTGGTAGGTTATATAGATTACAGAAATGCTATATTGTAATGTTTTATATATATATATAACATTTCTGTCCCTCTCACTTCTGAAATGATGGCTACGCCCCTGGGCTGTACAGAAAATGCTTGTTTTGTAATTAATCAACAGCAGAAATCAAATTTACTTTGAATTTCTGTGATAAGTTGACTTGTATTCAAAAGTTTGAGGTTGGTAAGATGTTTTTGAAAAAAGTCAGTGCTGCATTTTTTTTTCAATTAAAATGCTGTAAAATGATATTGTGAAATAGTATTATAATTTAACATTTTAAAAAATCAAATTGAATATATTAAAATAATTGCAAAGCTTAATTTTCAGCATCATTACTCCAGTCTTCAGTGTCACAAGATCCTTCAGAAATCTTTCTAACATGCTGATTTGGTGCTCAGGCAACATTTTTTTATTATTATTATTAACGTTGAAAACAGTTCGAGTTTTTGGTTTCTGTTTTGGTTTTTCATTTCGATTTTCGTATATTAGCACCAATACATTTAGTTGTATTTTATTAGTAGTAGTTAGCATAGTTTTACCCTGCTTTTCATGATCCATGAGAACCACTGCTTTAAAACCTGAGTACAATTTACACTTCAGTACAGTTCTTCTAAAGAAATAGAGAATAAAAAATGTATGGAACTATGTCCTGTAATTCTTTTTAAGAGTAGGACATTGAATATCTGCCAGCTGTCAAGCAGATCAGGCCATATTAACAGTAAAGAACAGCTTCAATATTTCTGTACTTGCACCTTTAAAAAAAGAGATAATCTGACTCACTCACAGTCCTTCAAAGCCACATGTAAAGCCATTTAGACTGTATTTTACCTTGTCAGTCTCTGAGTAAGGGTTGTTAAGCACCGTAGGCATGTTGTCCTTTCTCCAGAGGTCATCAAACACTCTGTCGTTATCCGACGCCAGCTGGCCGTTCTGTCCATTTCCCACACCAAGGTCTCTGAAAGTCACAAACAGTTTAAACATCAGCCAGAAGAAAACAGGTCTAGATGTATGTACAGTGACTCAAAAACATTCAATTATATTATTTTTTGTCTGCTGTATATTACTTTGCACACTTTTACATTTATGCTATAAACTGAAGGAATTAGTCAAAAAAAACAACAACATCTGTCATAAATAACAACATGCCTCAGATGCGGTCCGTAGAGCTTAACTTCAATTTCTCTAAAACATTAATGCCTCAAGGCTACCAATGTGCACTTTGTCTTTTAAGTGAAACAGTAAACTGCTTCAGTTATATTCATTCTCAAGTTATTCCATAATCATCAGATTTAGCTAGTGCCCAGATACTCAAACAATAAACCATGCTATCCGAAGTATAATGTATAATTAAAAAGTGTAAAAAATCACTTACAGAACTTTTTTTTTCTAGCTGACGTTGATGGGACTCATAGTATCACATTCATCACAAATGTGAGAAGAGTGAGAGAAGCTTGATTTGTTTTGGATGAAACACTGCCATCTCTGTTCACCAGTCGGATTAATATTCCAAGGCAATTATAATTTGTTTAGTTCTTCTAATACAGAAAATAAATCTGGTGTGTACTTTTTCAAATAATAAAACACTCGGAGGCAATTGCTAATCATTGCTCTGTTTGTTTGAACATCCAGACTTGTCCGACAACAGCAACACGTAGTCAACCAATAGTTTGGGGCGGGACTATCTGTTTAACTGACCAATGGCAAAAAGGAGGGGAGTGTTTTGGAAACCTGTTTGAAATCAGTAAATATTTTTACACACTTCATGTTTAAAGGGACAGTTCACCCAAAAATTAAAATTCTATCATTAATTACCCTCATGTCGTTCCAAACCCGTAAGACCTTCGTTCAGATCCGGTGTGATGACGTTGAACACAAGGCACAAGGCACAAGGCACGGTGCATGTGTTCAACGTCATCGTGCCGGATCTGGGTCAGCGCCGGCGCCGCCACACGCTTTTCTGTGCCTTGACCGTGGTAGTTACCTTGCTGTCTATGGGAGGGTCAGAGAGCCCTCAGATTTCATCAAAAATATCTCAAATTGTGTTCCAAAGGTTTGGAACAACACGAGGGTGAGTAATTAATGACAGAATTTTCATTTTTGGGTGAACTATCCCTTTAAGCACACTAAAATGCGGACAGCTGCTGTTCATAAACTACAAGGATAAAACGAATCAGTTTCTGCAATGAGGCTTTTACAGAATGGACATTTATTTGATCTTCACAGTATGAAAGTTGAAAAATATGACAATATTATTTTATATTTATTATGACAAAACTACAGTGGTTAGGCTGTAACAAATAATTTAGGTAGATTTAATTACACCAATTGGTATACTGTGAAAACTGGTGTGTAATCACAAAATTATGTCTATATTTATCCATTCTATTATTAATGTTGCTAGAAGCTTCTCGCACTTCCTCTTAGTATTTCCTGTTCACTAAAGCGTAATATGAACATTCAAGACAAGAGTAATCTCAAAGACTGAATGGAATGAATACATTCTGAACAGATTCACTCACTGACAGCTCACCAAGTAAACACAAGCTTCACTTATCAAAAAGAATATGCATTTAGAAAACTGACCTTTCTCAGAAAGCATGGACATTGTGCAAATATGTCTATATTCTTTGTTGAGTGATTTGTAAATCATATTCCCAAATAAATGAAAAGTGGAGACAGACTGGGGCTAGTTGTCACACAGACTTTAGATAATTAATCCACATTAATAGTGGCAATGTTTAACAGATTTGTTTGTAGTAAAGAATTTTTCGGCATAAGACTATACATTAATCTACATTGAGAAATACTCATTGGAATAAATAGTGTGGCAACTAAACCCATACTCCACCACAAGAAAACTAGACTCTACTGTACTATTTTGATCATGCCTAACATCACATTTGCACTGGGAGTACATACAGAGTTCTCTTTTTAATATTAAAAGGTAAAACTGATTCTAAGAACTGGATGTCTTCTTGATTTGTCTGTTGTTTACTACATTAAACCAATAATGTTTTTGAGAGAACTCTTCCCTTGGGTCAATAGTGCTCATGTAATTTGCTGTAGTGTTGTCATTACTCATGCGCTACCACTTGAAGCTTTTAGAACATGATCTTTCTGGGAACAAGTAATGTTAAGTCATGTTAGTGGACTCATCTTTGCTTTTTAAATGCCAGTGGTGAATTTCAATCCAAAACGGAGAATGCATTCATAACCTATATTTGGACATATATTAAAAAGATTGTTTAACGCCAAACAATGTCATTCGGAGTTTAGTGGTTTACTGGAATGCCATATACAGTGGGTACGGAAAGTATTCAGACCCCCTTAAATTTTTCTCTCTTTGTTATATTGCAGCCATTTGCTAAAATAATTTAAGTTAATTTTTTTTCCTCATTAATGTACACACGCATCTCTGGAGAGACCTAAAAATGGCTGTCCACCAACGTTTACCATCCAACCTGATAGAACTGGAGAGGATCTGCAAGGAGGAATGGCAGAGGATCCCCAAATCCAGGTGTGAAAAACTTGTTGCATCTTTCCTAAAAAGACTCATGGCTGTATTAGATCAAATGGGTGCTTCTACTAAATACTGAGCATTTTTCAGTTTTTCTTTTTTAATAAATCTGCAAAGATGTCAACAATTCTGTGTTTTTCTGTCAATATGGGGTGCTGTGTGTACATTAATGAGGAAAAAAAATTAACTTAAATGATTTTAGCAAATGGCTGCAATATAACAAAGAGTGAAAAATTTAAGGGGGTCTGAATACTTTCCGTACCCACTGTATATTGCACCCTAGAGAAATGATGAGTGGGATGTTAAATTTAATGTTTTTAGTAAGGCGATTACATATAGCTAAATACCTAAATCAGATTCCAATGTGCAGACCATATGATCAGACTAATTGAAGCCACAACAGGCACCAGATAATGAAATCATAAAGGGGAAATGACTAACTTGTGGTCTTATTTCTCGAATGTTAACTTGATTTATAAACTATACATAAAAAAAAATGACAGAACTAAGTCTTAGATGTACAGTGTAATATGTTTTTGTAAATACCGCATTCACAATTTTGTGGGGTAATTTATTATGTGACACAAAATGCAAAGGCATGTATTTTGTGACAAAATATTTGTACACTTTGAATGCAATTTGTAAATAGACAACCAGTTGCATTTCGTCAACAGAAATTTAAAGTCAGCACTTTAAATTTGTGCACCAAATGAATGGATTTTAGAAAAGTTTCTTCCACTTCATGCATATAAGGGCTTTCTTTGAATGCAAAGAAAACAGATACAATGCTAATTAACGCTCATGCATCGTGCTAATGTCATGAACACGTGTCGAAGGCTGACACAGAAGAGAAGAAATTGTTGAGTCATTATTTTTGTTTTCTTTGCACACAAAAAGTATTCTCGTAGTTTCGTAACATTACGGTTGAACCACTGATGTCACATGGACTATTTTAACGATGTCCTTGCGACCTTTCTAGGCCTTGAACGTAGTAGTTGCGTTGCTGTCTATGCAGGGTCAGAAAGCTCTCAGATTTCATTAAACATATCTTAATTTGTGTTCTGAAGATCAGTGAAGGTCTTACAGGTTTGGAACGACATGAGGGTGAGTAATTAATGACAGAATTTTCATTTTTGGGTGAACTATCCTTTTAAGCTAGATAACACTTCAATGTTAATCTTGTGTTTTTTAAATACATTTTATCATCCGCTCAGGAAAAATCATAAACTTGAATGGTTAAAATTGAGACGCCATTTGTCAGGATGAGATATGTGCTGAAAATGTATTCACTTAGTGTGCATTTAAACTTATCTTTTGTAGATAATTTCATATTTTAAATTTCATTATTTAAAAAGCAAAAAACAAATCCCACACACTATCTATGCAAAAAATATCTAAATATTTATTGACTACGTTTCGGTCGCAAGACCTTCGTGAAGATCATGCGACCGAAACGTAGTCAGTAAACATTTTGATATTTTTTGCATACATTTTTTTCGGGATTTGTTTTTTGCCTTTTAGTTTTTTGACCTGGTTGGTCTTTGCCTCCAACGCACCTATCTATTGACGTCAGGTGTGCAGAGTTTAATTGTAAATTTCATTATTTAAAAAAAAAATTAATATTGGATATTGAAAAATTTCAACTTTGGAAATTAAGTTGAGTTTGGAAATTAAAGTCCGGTAAATGGACGTAACAGGTCTATCGCATTTGAAAGTAACATACCACCTAAACCGAAACCCTAGCCTAAAAGCTAGATAAATGTGGGATAAAATGCATTTGTTGAAGCAACCATTCCATTTTAGCTATTTATCATGACTTGTTTTTCACGGGACTCATACCTAAACACTCCACATTGCAAGTGCTAGGCTGTACCAGGTGAGCTACTGAGCAAGTTTACCATGAAAGAAAAGCCATATAAATGGAGCTGGTTATGTGATGTAGATGTCAAAATGTATTAGTTTATAATGCACTATATGGTAAAAGCCTTTTGCGTTCATAACACAGTATTGTGGGAAGAACTGCACAAAAATAACTCTTTATTACTTGATAATTTGTCCTTGCAATCATAATTTGTGTGAAATTAATAAACTCTGTTGGTGGTTTATTGCCATTAGTGTTTATTTCAGTTGGAAACTGCAGAGAGTTGTATTGGAATAATTTTGGAGTTTTGTACTAAGACATCACTCACCTCTCCACCTGCACTTCGACATCCTTCCTCTCTACGTCTCTCTGACCTTCTCCATTGATCTCTTTTTTGCTGTTCTTGATGAGCTTCAGCACTGGCTCGATCTCCTTCAGCAGGTCGTTGTTCTCCTCCACCCCGTTGAGGAGAAGGGCTGAATGGTCTCCTTCTCTGAGCAGAGAGTCCTGGGCCAGCAGAGGAATCAGGGGTTTGCTCTCCCGTGGGTCTTTCCTGGGAGTGGAGGAAGAGGACAGGTTCTCTATGGCCCTGAGCTCTTTGGTCATGTTGGGGCTGAGAGGCGAACATCGTTCACACGGCCTGCTCTGAGCGGGGATAACGGGCCTGGTGACCCGAACCGTTTTGGGTTTCCCGTCACTGCTCAGCGTGGTCTCCAGGTGAGTGGTGAAGCCCTCGGGTCCGCGGAGGATGAGGACGGCGTGGCTCTCGGGCGACACATTCTTCAGGGTCTCGAGCGCACATTCGTAGCTCAGGTCCACCAAAGGCTTGTTGTTCACGGCCAGGACGATGTCGCCGACTTGGACCAGCCCACATTCCTCCGCCTCCCCACCCCGGATGAGGTCAGAGATGATGACGGGCGGCTTGCACACACGTTGTTTGACCAGAAAGCCCAGCCCACCAATCTTTCTTTTGAAGAGACGCACTGAGATGATGTTGGGCTGCAGCTGACACACGCTGGGCTCAGATTCCTGCATTGTGTCTTGCTGTGCGTCAGATCTGCGATTGAGTTAAATGTGACAAAGGAGAGCGACATGTCAGATGTGTCAACCACGGCAGGCGAAGACATGAAGAAATGCAAGACAATACAGGCTAGCAACATTCACTTTGCATTCTACTAATTGCATCCTGTGACATTTAAGGAAATATTCAGACCATTAATTAAGTCTAACTATGTCAGTAGTAAAAATTGGTTTAAAGGAATAGCTTGACCAAAAATAATTGATTCTAAACGTGTATGCTGTCATTTTTCCATGGAACAAAAACAAAAAAACAGCATAAAAGTAGTCCATATGTCTCATGCTATATATGCTTCAAAGTCTGATTTGTGAATGAACAATTCTTTTTCAATGAACCGTTGATCTGAATCACAAATCAGACAGAATGATTTGTTCACAAATCAAACTGATCTGGTTTAAATCACTGACTCAGTGATCAGGTTCTTGAATTATAAGCTCACTGGAGGGGAAGATTGTCTGAATAAAGTTCATTAGTCACTATTATTTTTCAGTTTATACAAAACTATCATACAGCTTCATACAGAGCATACTGTGAGATACTTCCAAATTCTGTTGTTGTTGTTGTGAAATATAACAACAGCATAGGGGTTTGAAACTACACAAGTGTGAGTAAATAATGACAGAATTTTCTTTTTTGTATGAATTATTGCTTGACTTTGAATGCAAGACATTATTGGTAAGAAAGAGTCATTCAGTTGAAACCTTCACAAATATTTTTTGTTAATAATTTCAATGATTGAGTGGTGACTCATATCACAGTGTACAAGCTGTGAATGTAGACTTCAATTCACTCTTTCCTTTCTGTTGACAAGCCAGTAGCATTTCCTCCATGTACATCACGCTCAGTCTTAGGGATGTAACGGTATGAAAATTTCATATCACGAT